TGCTATGAGAGATGAAGAATTTTATAACAATTTAAAATATATTTAACCAACATCAACACATTTAAACTATATCTGATAATAATAAAAATAAATAGCAAACCAAGACATGAGATTTTGCTGCAGGTGTTCGACCGTCTTCTGTTATATCGACCATCTTCTGCTGGACAGACGGGGCCGTTTCTGAACATTTCTCGCGGAATTCCTTAACTCAGTGGGGGTTAGAGAATCCCTCTCATAACTGCTAAGTAAGTATTTCTAATTCTTGTCTAGATTATACGGAAGAATACGGAACCTTTATTCTTCCGCAAATATATCCATAGGATTAGATCCATGGGCACTAAGTCAGGTGGCCTCGACGGCCAACGGCTGGGATCTTGGTGAGCTATTCAATTATTCTTGAAATTGGCTGCAAAAATTTGCTGATAACTTCAGCGTTCTGAGGCGGTGCCTCTTCTTGCTGGAAAAATATGGTTTCGAGTTCCATTAAGGGCATATCATCAATAAGGGGTCCAAAGCCTACTAGTTAAAAGTGGAGAACTTTTAAAAATTCTGTATTTCGAAGGAGAATATAACAAAATATCAAGTGTGCTATATTTTTGGAAAGGTAATTTTAAATTCTTTTCGGTTAATTAAAAATATAGAGGGTGTCACAAATAAAAAATCAATTTTTGCCGCATTGTCATGCGGCCGTGCATTGTCATGCATGAGAATGAAGTTTCTCCCAAAATCATTGGCATATGGTAACACGACAGGCTCAAGAATTAAATCACGATATGTGATTCCTGTTAGAAACCTTTAAAGAAAAACGAGATCGGTTTTTCGGCCTAACTGGACTCCTCCCCAGACCATAACTGTTCCACCTTGATAAGGGTGCACTTCCTGAACATGATCCAACCAAATAAGATTTCCCGGTTCTCTCCATACCCTAAGCCTTCTCGAATCCGAATGAATTCCAAAGCGTGACTCATCCGTGAAGAGAACATTGGCCCATTGTTCATTCGACCACTGAACATGATCTTAACTTTTAAATTATTAATTTTAAAAAAATTATACTTATACCATTAAATTCTACGTAAAAAGGTGCTTTGGAAATGTTTTCATAGAAATACAAAATTTTCCATATCAAAAAAGTTACAGCGATTTGTTAAAAATGCACATTTTTGAAAAACACCCCGTAACTCCGAAATGGTAACAGATATTGTTGTGCTGTTTTCACCATCATATTTTTGATGAAAATTGAGCTCCAGACACCGATATTATTTTTCGTCTATCTCCTATAGAAAAGGGTGTTTCCATTTAAAAGCGTCGAATTTGACCCACCATGTACAAGAGTCAATTTCTCTATCGAGCTTCCTTTAAGAGCCTCTGTATTTGATGTCACCATACAAAACGAAAGGCTTGTTATTGACTGTTAAACAAACAAATTAAATAAAAGGCTTCCGAGTAACTCAGACTCCATCAAATAAAGCCAGCGTTTACGTGTCCACTCTTTGTAAATAATATAAAAGGATTACAATGCTAAAAGGTAGCGAGACGGAAAAGCTACTACCGGCACACAATAAACATTTCCAATTCGTTCGTTTTCTGGAACTAGTTTTCCACAGCAAGAGAGAAGTTTTTCTAGATTTTCCAGACTTTAGACGGTATAGCTTTTAGTATTCATGGTTCGAATCGTTCGCTTCGAGACTGAAACTTTAAACTTTCTTAACGCTACCCGGTTTAAATCAGGATACATCGTAGTATCCAGTAGTTTGGCTAAAGATTTGATCGCTTGTTACACAGGTAATGCCAGTGTTGGTAAAAAGTTTTGAGGACACGATAAGGAAAGTAAAATACACACACCGGAAAAGTCTAGGGATATTACAATTTTATCCAGCCATCGTCAGTAATTTTATTATTTGCATTTCTGATATAATAAAATTAAAATAAACAAATAGTTTACAGGACGTACTGGAAATAAAAATGCGAAATTTACCGAATTTTTCAAATTTACCATGATTTTTATTGAACTCAAAAAATACACACATTTTTTCTTATTCTAAACTGCGAATTAAAAAAAAAAGATAAAACCATTTTTACTTAATAAAGGGTATAGCCTCCTCTACTGTTCATTACAGCCCTACATCGTCTCTTCATGCTCCTGATCAGGTTGTCGATCTCTTCTTGAGATACAGCCTACCACGCTGCATTCACGGCCCGAACCAGATCCCTACGAGTTTCACGAGGCATACCCATTCTCAAAATTCTTCTTTGGACTGCGTCACATACGTGCTCGATGGGGTTGAGGTCAGGAAATTGTGCCGGCCAGGGTAAGATGTTTAATTGATGAGCATTGATAAACTCACTTATCACTCTGGCTGTATGAGGCCGTGCATTGTCATGCATGAGAATGAAGTTTCATCCCAAAATCATTGGCATATGGTAACACGACAGGTTCAAGAATTAAATCACTATATGTGATTCCTGTTAGAAACCTTTAAAGAAAAACGAGATCGGTTTTTCGGCCTAACTGGACTCCTCCCCAGACCATAACTGTTCCACCTTATACCTGATAAGGGTGCACTTCCTGAACATGATCCAACCAAATAAGATTTCCCGGTTCTCTCCATACCCTAAGCCTTCTCGAATCCGAATGAATTCCAAAGCGTGACTCATCCGTGAAGAGAACATTGGCCCATTGTTCATTCGACCATTGAACATGATCTTGAGCCCACAAATATCGTACCTCTCGATTTCCTCTCGTTAAGGGTTGAGCTCTCTAGGGGCGCCTGCTTCTTAAGTTGACCTATCTTAATCTATTGCGAACAGTGTCAGGACTAACGGTTACATTATGTGTTTCCTGGAGAATTAAACTAAGCTCTGGTGCTGTAAGAGTCGGTCGCCATCGAGCATTTAATTGTAAAAGATGATCTTGCTGAGGGGTAGTAATGCGATGTCGCCCTGTGTGCCTTTCAGCAACATCACCACTTTCACGGTAGAGTGCACTTAATCGCAATATTACACTTTGCGTTGTATTTAATGCTCTAGCTACGTCGATTTGTCACATTCCTGCTTCGAGTATACCCATGGCCCTTAGCATTTCGTCTCTGTTAAGATGTCTACGCTCCATAATGTCGTTTAATACTAAACAGAGTTATTTGAATAAATTCTGGTGAGTTATCATAAAAACATAGCCAGTACAGGTTAAATTCGAACAATTGATGCTTGGTGCTTTTTATACATTTGACAAAAAATGCACAAACACTTCTGCAAATATCCCAAATTTAGAAATAACTAGTGTGACTACTTCGTTTCAATCGAAGTAGAAAGAATCGGCCTACAAATATGTGGTTGTTTATTCAAAACATTTATTTTTAACTTTAATAAAATGATATCCCTAGATTTTTCCAGTGTGTGTATATTGTAGTTTTAAAGTTTATAACAATAAGCAGAGTTTTTAGTAAATATATTTTTTGTTGATTTTTTTAAAGGTGTCATAAGGAGCAAGGGGCAAGGGGAAATATACCACCTACCTGCTGAGCCTTATCCACCCAAGTAGCATTTTTAGACACAAAATCGAAACAAAATGCGAAACAATTTCGTCACATTTTTGATATACATATATGTTTCGTAACATACATAGTTTTTTGTTTGAAAATATTTTAACAAAATATGGTTTCGCTACATAAGCTATAACAATAAAGATCTTAGTGTCACAAATTTTTCGAAACTTTTAAGAAACAGATGTGGCTCACATTTACAGATTTCGTACCCGTTTTGTACCTGAAAAATTTCCATAATTTATTTGATATTCTGTCAAATATGAGAAAATAACCTTACTTTAATTGTTTGGATTTTGTTTTGCATTTTTTGCATTTAAGCATTCTTCAAGTTTTTATAGTTCTATAATTAAAAAAGCAGAAGGAAGGACATATGGTGGGTACAAATACAGATAGTTTTCTTTTGTGACTTTATATTTATTTATTATACGCATTGCAAAGATGATTTGTTTTAAGAATAAATGTAGTAACAGCCACCACCCATACCCAACAGGAAAGCGAAGAAAAATGTTACAAGCAAACTTTTTTTTTCACTTTTTTCCACAATGGAATATATTTTTTTATGTTTTCATTGTGTTATAATAAGTAAATTAAAATATTTTAATTATTTTGACCAGAATTTTTGATTGGCGTTATTGACAGGTGACTAGTTCGAAATTTCTACACAGATAGCGCTAAATCGAAACATTTTGGAAACAAGGTTTCCATTTATTGTGGATGTATTTTCGAAACGCGAGTTTCTCTCTTTTTAGACATAAATATGATATAACGTAAAGGATTTGTGTCCGACTCCATGTCAATTTTATAAAATAATGAATTAAAATTCCGCCATTTTAGTTAGTGATAGATTTTTAACTAAAAATTTAGGTTTTTATCGGTTGATGAACTTTTAAACTCATAAGAACGCGTTCTACTTACATTAATTTATATATTTTTGTTTTCAACAACATGATATAGAAATAAAAATAGAAATCTATATTTTAAACAAAAATATTTTGTAGGAATAAATTATTATGATATATAGAAGGGATATTAAAAATATGAAAGTACATTATTGAATTAAATGATGAATTTGCTTTTGCCAGACACTTTTTGTGCGAGAAAACCTAAAAACAAAGATTTTAAGACAAAAAAATTATGGCGGAGGTCGACATTGTTGAAGATTGTTTTCATTTTGAAATCCACACACAGACATAGACTATTTTAATTTGGTGTTTTGTACATTCACATTTAGAAACAGTGGCTACTGAAAACGGATACATTTTGTAACTTCCCCTAGGAGATGCAAGATACATTTTGGACACAAATCGCAGAAAATGTTTCGAAACATTTCATCTAAAAGTTCCCACCACATTGGAAACACATGTAATAAACCCATATAAAATATATAGGTTTCGAAAATGTTTCCTATTTCCTATTTCGAAAATGTTTCCTCTATAAATTAATTTTCATTTAACTCACCCTTTAAAATACTGTCCTTCGTTGAACAACATCATTCACCAAAAATTCTCTTCTACCTCTAATACTTCTTTCGCCTGATTTTTCCCCAACAGGTTGGATATTTCCCATCTCGACCTGTTTATTTTTTTTGGGATTTTCTCTCCTCTGGATCGCCACTGCCGGTTTATCCTGGACAGTTTGTCGGCTTGTCGCCAGCAGAGAGATTCTGTGCGGGATTCATAGCTCTAGGGAGATGTTTAATCAGGTGAGCCGCGTGGTGGAAGAGGATATCTGAAATAGAAGAGAAAAAATGAGATTAAATGAAGTTATAAAGAGAAAAAAAAATATCGAAAGAAATCACTTTTTAGAAAAAAATACTAATAATAAAGTGTACAAGGTTGTTTTTGCATAATAATTGGTGTTCTCTAATTTTAAACTATACTCTTTATAAATCATTTTACTCAATATATTAAAAAATTACAATTTTCGTAAGACCAACTGGTAGAAAGAGTCATTAAAAAATAATGAAGAGTAAAAAAAAAGGCAAAATAAATGACGTCTAGACCTTGACCTCGCCTAAAATATCATTTATTGTCATTTCCGAGCCGTCTTTGTAATATTATTAACAAATATCCACTGTGAAATTAGTCTCCTGAGGTTTTAAAACAAATACCTATATTTGATACCAAGTAAACTCTTAGTTACGTAATCGAGGGCGCAGTTTTTAAATTAATTGTTGCCAACCATGGTAACATATTCGTCGCCGGGCTGATTAACTAGAATTTAAATTTCCCGCTGGGAATTCAGATGGTAGCTCGGCTGTAAAAAATGTTAAGTTATCACATTTATTTATTTCCTGACATTGTCATTCGTTTCGACACTTTAGTTTTGTGTTATGGATTTTTGGTTTAAATAAATGATGTACTGAATTCTTTCGAAAATCGACAACTATGACACTATGATCCCTTCCCGGACACAAACGGTACATTGTGAGACAGGAAATTGTAGAGAGAAACAAGCCCTATAACATAGGATACAACATTTTAATGAACAGTGCTTTCCATAAAATCAATAAAATGAATAATATACGAAATAATATACATGTACTGATTTCTTTCGAAAATCGACAACTATGAAACTATGAACCCTTCCCGGACACAAACGGTACATTGTGAGACAGGAAATTGTAGAGAGAAACAAGCCCTATAACATAGGATACAACATTTTAATGAACAGTGCTTTCCATAAAATCAATAAAATGAAAAATATACGAAATAATATACATGTACTGAATTCTTTCGAAAATCGACAACTATGAAACTGTGATCCCTACCCGGACACAAACGGTACATTGTGAGACAGGAAATTGTAGAGAGAAACAAGCCCTATAACATAGTATACAACATTTTAATGAACAGTGCTTTCCATAAAATCAATAAAATGAAAAATATACGAAATAATATACATGTACTGATTTCTTTCGAAAATCGACAAATATGAAACTGTGATACCTTCCTTGACACAAACGGTACATTGTGAGACAGGAAATTGTAGAGAGAAACAAGCCCTATAACATAGGATACAACATTTTAATGAACAGTGCTTTCCATAAAATCAATAAAATGAAAAATATACGAAATAATATACGTGTACTGATTTCTTTCGAAAATCGACAACTATAAAACTACACGGGATCCCATACAAAAACCCAAATTTTCTGTTGATAATTCTGAAATTATAATATTTAAAAAAATTATACTTAAACCATTAAATTCTACGTAAAAGGGTGTTTTGGAAATGTTTTCATAAAAATACAATATATTCCATTGCAAAAAAGTTACAGCAATTTGTTTAAAATGCATATTTTTACCAGTAACTCCGAATTGGTAAAAGATATCGATGTGCGGTTTTCACCATCATGATTTTGAAAAAAATTGAGCTCCAGACACCGATATTAGTTTTCGTCTATCTCCTGTAGAAAAGGAGTGTTTCCCTTTAAAAGCGTCTAATTTGGCACACCCTGTACAAGGTGTCCTACATTTTTCTGTGTTTTACAGAGATTCTCAAAATTGCAATCGGTTTACGTTGCTTTAATTAAAATTTCTACCAGCATCAGTAATACCAACAGCAAATGAACAAATACCTAGATACTCTCAGGCTCTCATTCCTGGCATCTCTTTCTAATACCTAATTCCTTCTTGCTTCAATGGAGAAACGGAAAGCACAAAGGTATGATATTACTTCTAACGACACTGTATCGATTTCTACTTAGAGCCACGTAACAATGTTCCTGCATCTAATTGAATAAGGAAAGAGGACCCTATGCCGGCCGAATCATTCCTAACCCCAATTAATTTGGGGACATAGTTGCGACTCCAAATCGTCTTATCGCCGACCGTCTCGTTACCAATTTGCTTCAAGGCAATTTCATGGACGAGAGAGGTAGAGAAAATACGAATCTGGAGTAGAAAATGGAGGTATCGACGCGAAAGATTAGTGCATTGGGGGAGAAGTCCGAATAATTGAATTTGGTTCTTGTGGAAAAATTGGTATTATCGATATTGTTATTATTTTTTTAGTTAAAGTTCAAAAACATTTAAAAAAATAATCTGGGGCTAACAAAATAAAATTACACTAAATCACCACATTACACCAAAACACTTTTACTTTTACACTGGACGCGCGTTTCGCTAACCATGTTAGCATCATCAGCAGATGATTATAAACTCCTTGGGGCTAGTTCACATAGAAGTAGAATTATTGAAATACTTTTATAACTTTCTGTGTTGATTATGACGAGTTTGAGTAAAATCCAAGTTAATATTGTACAGGGTGGCGCCTCTCATACGAGCGAAGGCTCCAAGAAGAACGACAGCTTGTATTGAAATGAAATTTTGTGAGCGTATGTATTAATGCTAATTCAGAGCACTTTTTAAAAATATAGAGAGTTGTACAGGGTGTCTCCGAAAAAGTTACATGTGAAAGTTGTGTTTTGTGTAATGAAACACCCTATATATTAATTGATTTTCGGGTTCTGGAAGAAAAATAAAGGTAAGTTTTATAAGAGAAGTATATGACTAAAATGCAAGGTTTTTGACATATTTAACATTTCCTAGAAATATAGAACAATTTTTTAAATTACAATAAAAGCTACCTAAATTGGAATTTACCCGGTATAGCCTAATACGTAGTTAAATTAACTATTGTACTTTAAATCAAATTAAAACTTGATCCAAGAAGTTATACAGGGAGAGACAAAATTAATATTGAATATTGGTCACTTTTAAAGGCATGTTACTCTTTTATTTTACATGGAACACCCAGTATATTATTCCGATATTCAATGGAGCATTCATGTCTCTTTAAAATACTATTAAGGTTGACCCCTCAAACAAAGATTTTCCTAGATATTACCCAGTAGTATAGTCCAACTTTAACAACTAATTATCATTTTGTGTCAGTTAGAACAAACAAATTTCTCAGAAATTTGCCGCAAATGCAAACTTATCCTACATCAGAGAGAATTGATATGATTCTATTAGTTAGTGAATGCAGTGTGCATACTACGTGTGAATACTCAAATGCCCCTGATTTTATTTAGTCGGGTTTTTTTTATGGGGATATGTTAAAGACAGTGTTTACAAAACTCGACCAGCTATTGTCGACAACATGAGAGAAATTATTGTACCTGCTTTTCGAGGTAGAACTCTATATCATTTTATGGAGTTAACAGGAAAGGAAGCATTTAATTCTGCAATAATTAAAATATGTTTTAAACGTGTATCTTTTTATTACCGTTGAGTATTTTATTCTAGTCTTTAACTTTTGTTAAATTAGCAAAAGGTATATCACACAGCCACCTAGATTTTTTCAAATAATAAAGATCTACTGACGCAAAATCATAAAAATTAAAACCATCTAGGAAAATCATTGTCTCAGGGGTAGGCAACCTTAATAATACTTTGAAGATATATAAATTCCCTATTGAACGCCGGAAAAATATACTGGGTGCTCCTTTTAAAATAAAGGATTAACGTGCTTTTAAAAATGTCTAATGTTCCATATTAATTTTGTCTCACCCTGTATAACTTTTCGGGTCAAATTTCAATTTGGTTTAACGTACAATGATTACTGTAATTAAATATCAGGCTACACAAGGGCAACTAAAATTTAGATAGCTATTATCGAAATTTAAAATTTACTCTTCATTTTCACAAAATGTGAAATATGTCAAAATCCTGAGTTTTTAGGTATATGCTTGTTTAATAAAACTCACTTTTATTTTTTTCCTAGAATACAAAAATCAATTAATATATAGGGTGTTCCATTAGAAAAAACACAACTTTGTGTAAAATGGAAACCATAGTTGGCCATGACTTCATAAAAAGCGCCATTTTTGAAGCTTTTCAGTGATATACAGTCTGACAAACGGATCTGAAACAACGGGGCAACGGTAAGGGGATCGCAATTTTCTAAAATCCTGACCGATTTCATTCATAAAATATCCACGAGCGTGCGGTGTTTCATCAAAATATATCAGGAATTTTTATAATATTTTCCAGTAAAGTTTATAATATTATTTTACTTTAAATGTACCTACATTTTGTTTAGTCATTTGCCCAATATAGTAATATTTGTTAAAACACTTGTACTATTACAATAAACACAAATCAAGTTAAAGATATAAAACACAATACAATAACACCGCTACTGGATTTTTCAATAGTAGTGACTGTTTACTCATAGACTTAAAATCTAAATTAAGTCTACTCATAGATTTAAAATAAAATATAGACTACACTATTTACATCTCAACGCGGACAAACAACCTTTTTTGTACACATGTTTACTTCTGGGTACAGTCGACCGAGCCTTCCTCATCCAGCCTATGTTGTCACGTCTTTAATATTATCAATATTTTTTTTCTTGTTATACACATATATTGAGATATTAATACTACAGTTTAATAAAGTAGGTTTTAATATTCCATAGATGTATTAAATAGTCTTTATACTACTAAATTATAAGTCGGATACTGTTTAATAAGGATAAGTTCTTTACAATATGACAACACCGATTAGAGGCGAGGGAGCCTATTCATTCATTTATTACCTTGTAGTACGTGTCGCACGTGTGCGGTAAAGCTTTGTTGCCGCTATCTCCCCGGCTGTATTAACGCATTCTCTTAGCTTGTAGTCCTTAAGTGTTTATTTTATTGACTTTTTCTGTTCAGGAACTATAAAATATGGTTCGCCAGTGCCAAATTTGCAAGAAATTTGACTTAAATAATC